CCACCTTGCAGATCCTTTATCTTCCTTCAAAGTTTGGCTATGGTACCATCTCCTTCATGTAGCTTTCCCTGACATTCCTCTGCTCCCATCCTCATACACAGAGATTTCAAACGCTTCTTAATATTCTTCTACTACTTAAATTGTTTTTTATTTATTTCTCTGTGTACATGTTGTATCTCCCAAATACAAGGTTGGCTCTTTGAGGGCAAAGGATATTTCTGTATCTACCATACCTAGAACACAATTAGTACTGTGTACAAGAGCTTGGACTCTTACATGTTAAATTCATCTCCTTCAATATATTTAAAATTCTGTTTGACAGTGATTTGATGAGTGTCTACTATGGGAGGCAATATCATACAGTAGATGGAGAGCCAGACTTGAAACTGGGAAGACCTGAACATTCTGTCTAGGTGACTCTAAGTAAGTCACTTAACAGGACTCTAGTCAACTCTCTAAGACTAAATTTCAGAAAAGGTGCTAAGGTAAATTGTTAGAGGAAGAAGTCATTCAGTCATTTTAATTTCAGTCGTGTCTTATGCTTTGTGACCCCATTTGGGATTTTCTTGGCAAAGATACTGGAGTGGTTTACCATTTCCTCTCCAGCTCATTTTACAGATGAGGAAACTGAAGTTAACAGGGTGAAGTGACTTGCCCAAAGTCACACAGCTAGGTAGTGTCTAAGGCTGGATTTGAACTCAGAAAAATCAGTCTTCCTGACTCCAGGCCTGTTGCTCTCTCCACTGCACCACCTAACGGTCCCTACCAGTGGAAACAGGTCTAATCTCCATCCCAATCCCTTTTCTAGGCTCCATGGAGGATACAAAGCACGTTCTATGGAAAGAATTTTGGCATAACAATAAAAAGACAAGGTGTTCAGTTTTGGGTTTAGCACATACAAGCTACACAAGTCATACTTCTCTGAGTTTTACTTCCTTGTCTGTAAAATGGCGGAGCTATTGATATAGTTTGCCTAGATTTTAGCACAGTCCTTCAAGTTCTAGACTTGACAACATTTCTCACACTACTCTCCTGTGCACATCTACATGGATTCTCAATTTAGATGAACACTCAGATGTCTAAAGACCAATCGCTAATAGTTCAATATCAACTAGGGAGGTGGGCTCAAGTACAGTGTCCCCGGGATTTGGGCTGGCCACTGCTCTCTTGAACACTTTTATCAACAGTTTGAACGAAAAGACGGAGAGGTCTCACTCATCGATTTGCAGAAGACAAAGCAAGGAGGGCTAGTTAATACACTGGATGGAGAATTCAGAATCCCAGGAGAATGTGACAGGCTAAAACACAGGGCCAAGATTCTGAAACGTAAAAGCTGAATGTGGTATTACACCTGAGTTCCAAACACTGACTTCCCAAGCACAAAATGGAGGAAGCGATGGCAATCGAGCCATAAGCATTTATTGAATGCCTACTATGTGCCAGGCTCTGTGCTAGGTGCTGGGGATGCAAAGGAAAAGAATGAAACAGTCACTGCCCTCAAGGAACTTACATTCTAATGGAGGGAACAACATGAACACACAAAAGTATTTGCAAAATCAATGTGAGGTAATTTGGAGGGAAACATCAGCAGTTGGGAGGATGGAAATTAGTGAAGATGTAAAGAAGGGAGTGGTGTTTGAGCTGAGTTTTCCCAATCAATCAGCAAGTATTTATCAAGCAATTACTAAGTGCCAGGCATTGTGTTAAGCACAGGAAACAAATACAATGAATGAAAAAATACCCACTTGCCAAGAGTTTACATTCCAACGGAATGTACATTAAAGGTTATTCTAGTTCCTTTTAGTTTTGAAGCAAAGTAGGAATTATTAGAGGCAGCAGTGAGGATGGAGTACTTTCCAGACACAGAGAACAGCTCAAGCAAAGGTGCAGAGATTGGAGATGATGTATCATGTAAGGACCAGCAACAAGGCCAGATTGGTTAAATCATAGAGGAGGGAAGACCAGAGAGGAGAGAAGAGAGCAAGCATTGATTAAGTGCCTACTATGTACCAGCCACTGTGCTGAGAACTCTGCAAATACTATTTCATTTGATCCTCACAACCACCCTATGAGGTACGTGCTGCTATTATCCCATTTTACAGCTGAAGAAACTAAAGGAATGTATAATAAGGCAAGAAAAGCTAGCTCAGAGCCAGATCATGAAGGGCTTTAAATGGCAAACAGAGGACTTTGTATGTCCTTCTAGAAGCAAATGAGAGACACTGGAGATTCTCAAGCAGAGGACTGACATGATCAGATTTACATTTTAGGAAGATCACTTTGGCAACTGTGTGGAAAATGGATTGGAAAAGATACATTGGAGAAGCAACTAGATGGTGTAGTGGATAGAGTACTGGACCTGAAGTCAGGAAGACTCATCTTCCTATGTTCAAATCTGACCTCAGATACTTATTAGCTGTATGACCCTGGGCTTCATTTCAGCCCATTTGCCTCAGCTTCCTCATCTATAAAATGATCTGGAGAAGGAAATGGCAAACCATTCCAATATCTTTGCCAAGAAAACCCCAAATGGGGTCCTGAAGAGTTGGACATGACCAAAACAACTCAACAACAGTAATGACAAAAACCAGCTGAGAGCCCAGCACGGTTTTTAAGAGGCAGCTAGTAGCACGGTGGATAGAGTACTGGCCCTGGAGTCAGGAGGACCTGAGTTCAAATTCAGCCTCAGGCACTTACTAGCTGTGTGACCCTGGGCAAGTCACTTAACCCTGATTGCTGAGAGGCAGAGAGAGGGAGAGAAAGAAGGAGACACACACAGAGAGAGAGAGAGACATTAGAGGCGGGGAGATCCATCATAAGGCCACTGCAATAAAGCAAATGAGAGGTGATAAGGATCTAAATTACGGGGCTGGTCATGGGATTGGAAAGAAAGACATAGATAGGAAAGGTATTGGGAGATAGTATTAACAAGACTTGGCAAATGGATTTGTGGAGTAAGTGAGAGTGAGAAGTTGAGGACCATGCAATTGCAAACTAAGTGAGCAGAAGGATGTTAGGAAACCCTTAACAGCAATAGAGACATTCAGAAAAGAGTAGAGTTTAGAGATTCAAGGTGCAGGGGAGTTGGTGAATTGTGTTTCTCATCTTCTTACACTTTACTCCCTCTCACACAATCAATGACCCGGCACTATTGGTCTTCTTGCTATTCCTTGCACAAAACACTCCATCTCCTGACTCTGTGACTTTTTACTGGCTGCCTCCCACACCTGGAATGTTCTCTCTCCTCATCTCTGCCTCTTAGCTTCCCCCGCTTTCTCCCAATTCCTCCCCACTGCAATGCTAGAGCCTTCCCTCTGATCTTAACTGGAATGCGGATACAGAGATTGGCCCCATGCTGTCTCCTCTTTTAAAACCTGAGCTGCCTGAGGGCAGAGGCTGTTTCTGTCTTTTTTTGTATCTCCATCATTTAGCAGAGTTCCTGACTTGTTCATAGTAAGCACTTCATAAATGCTTGTTAATTTGACTTCTATTTTGGGATGTCTACAGGACATCGAGTAGATAACAGTTCATCTGGAAAAAGATTTGAGCATTAAACCCACGCAGCTCTTTTATGACTTACTGGATATAGCCTCACTCCCTGGAAATGGATATTTAAGGCACAAGATCCCCATAGTGGGTTAAGTGGGAGTGTCCAGGATTTCCAACCCTAAGTCAGATAGAGACTTGAGACAGTGATATTGATCCTGGTGAACACAAAGAAGTGGGTTCAAAGAGAGATTATATCCTGTAAGTTCTATTTAACTAGCTGGCTATTCTGTATTCCAAAAGACACTGGCCTTTTAAAGCAAGACAGTTTCTGGAGATAAAAGCTACACATAGCCAAGTCTCTGGTAACTGACAGATTCTTCTCCTTATGGAGAGAAAACAGCTGAATGTTCTTCCCTAGTCTGAGGGCTGGATGTAAAAGGGCCTGCCTCCTTCATTAAAATAACTGAACCATAAGCTGCTGGGTTCTGAGTTAAAAAAAAAAAATGGAAGAACTCATTTCTCTTATGGGGAAGAGACAACACCTCAGGTGAGGACTCTGGAGTCAGAAGCAGGAAGCAGAGAGAAATTCCACCACCATGTACTCAGCAGAGTAACAAGCCAGCAATCCCTGATGGAGATGATTCACCTTATAGGGAAGCAGAAACAAAAAAAAAATCTGGAGGTATTATTAAATTTTAAGGTCAATGATTCCATGCAATATGGCAGCCACAAGAGTCAGTGAAATCTTAGGCTCTGTTAAGGGAAGCATAAAATATTCAGGACTAGGAAAGTAATAGTCCCACTGTACTCTGCTTTGGTCTGACCACGTCTGGAATATTAGGCTCAGAGAGGAAGATTATTAGTAAGGTGGAATAGTGAAGAGGAATACAACCAAGATGGAGGAGGGTCTAAGGAACTGGGAACGTCTAGCCTGCGAAAGAAAATATATGATCATATATTGAATAGTGGAAGAATTATCATATGGAATAAAGATTAAACTCATTCTTGGCCCCAGAGACAGATTCATGGGTAGAAGTTACAAAGAGGCAAATTTCATCTCAGTGTTAGGAAAAACTTAGTAACAGAGCTAAGCAAAAGTGGATAGGTTGCCTCAGGAGGTGGTGGGTTCACAATCATAGGAGATATTCAAGCGAAGATACTCAAACATCTGCAGAATAAATAAATGGGGGTATTTTCTGTGGTATAAGAGGGCATATCAGACAGCTGAGATATAATAATAATAATAATAATAAAATCAATACTGAATGTAGGTTCAAATCACTGCTCTGTTGCTTACTAGCTATGTGGCCAAGGGCATGTAACAGCCTCTCTGGGGCTCAGTTTCTGCATCTGTAAAGTGGAGAGACTATTCATATTACTTTCCTCACAGAGCTGATACAATAATCAAATTAAATACTAGATGTAAAGTGCTTTATAAATCATAAGGTACTGCCAAAATGTCAGCTATTATCATCATTGTTGTTACTGTCACGAGTCAATGGCAAAATTACCTGTACGACTTCTTTCACAAGGGTCTTGTCCGTCCCAGTCTTAGCTCTTTGCAGGCCACTGACGTTCTCGCCGATCCAAGTGATAAGGGCAAACTTCACTCTCTTGCTCATGGCATCCCCCGTGGTAAACCGAACAAACCCAAACAATCGAATGTCATCTTCAGGAAACAGAGAAACACTAATTAAAAATTTGATAAGAACAATTCCCTAAGTATATACAGCAGCTAGGTAGAGCAGTGGATAGAGCACTGAGCTGTGAATCAGAAGACTCATTTTTGTGAGTTCAAATCTGTCCTCAGATACTTACTAGCTGTATGAACCTGGGCGAGTTACCTAACTCTGTTTGCCTCAGTTTCCTCATCTGTAAAAAGAGCTGGAGAAGGAAATGGCAAACTGGTCCAGCGTCTCTAAAATGGGGTCATGAGGAGTCTGACACGACTGAACATCTTGCTTGTTGTTACAAGAGTCTCACGCTGAATGTCTTTTATTTTATTATACTACAAAGCATTGAATGAAAAGGACTTTGACAAGAAATAGTACTTGTTTCTCCCAACTATAAGCCAACTACTGTCAGGGCTCCAACATAGCTATTTCAGAAGGACAGAAGGTTATTGATGGCTACTTGTTTACTGTATTCCTGATATCTAGCATAGTACCTTGATCTTAGCTTTTGCTCTATGTTTGTTGAATGGATAAGTTGAATTAAAATCAGTTTGCATTTGTAGTAATTTTGAGGGGTAAGGGTAAGAAAAAACAACCCTAGTATGTGACCTTGAGCAAGTCACTTCCTGTCTTGAGTTCCAATTTTCCCATCTGTAATATACACGAATTGGACTAGATGTCTTCTGAGGTTTCTTTGGTCTCCAAATTCTAGGATCCTAGGATTTCTAAGACAATCTGATTCTGCATATTGACTGAGTAGAGAAAAGGGAGGCCTTGAACCCATAGCTGTATCCATCCCAATCTCACGCAATCACTCTGATTATCCTGTGTCAATCGGAGTCTCCAAAAACAATTAAAGGAGCTGAGACTAGTAGTTGGAAAGCTCTGCTAACAAGCTGATCAGTATGGAGGAAAGGGAATAAGCATTTACACAGCACCTACTATGTGCTTTTTATAGATATTACCTCATTTGAGCCTCACAACAACACTGAGAGGTGGGTGCTATTATCATCCCCATTTTACAGATGAGCAAACCGAAACAGAGAGGTTAATCAACTTGTCCACAGTCACATAGCTGGTAAGTATCTCAGACCAGAGCCAGCACTGCATCCACTCACTGCACCACCAGCTGCCTCTTGGATGCTAAACATTGTAGTCAAGATAACTAGTCTTGTTTCACATGTATAATCAATATCATGTTGCTTGCCTTCTCAAGGAGTGGGGGGAGGGGCAAGAGGATTTGGAAAATTTGGAACTCAAGAGAGTTTTTCAATTTCAAAATTCAAGAGAGAATTTGGAACTCAACATTTTTTAAAATGAATGTCAAAAATGTTTAATACAATTGAGAAATATTTAACAAAACAAATAAAAAATATTTTTAAAAAAGATAACTAGTCTTGGAGTCAACTGGGTGCAACTGAACATAGTGGCAAATGTTTGTATTCCTGCTACCAGGAAGACTGAGGCTGGTGGATCTCTTGAGTTCAGGAGTTCTGAGCCGCACTAGGAAAGTTAATGTGCCTAATAAGTGTAAGAGGCAGGAGATAAGCCCAAATCCTTCCTTAGTCAGTCAGTCAGTGAGCATTTATTAAGTGCTTACTATATGTCGGGGACACAAAGAGAGGCAAAAGATAGCCCCTCTCCTCCAGAAGCTCACAATTTAATGAGGGAGACAAGCAGACAATTATGCTCAAATAAGCTACAGACAGGATAAATAGGAAATAATTATCAGAGGGAAAGCATTAGAATTAAGAGGAGTTAGGAGAGGATTCCTACAGAATTGGGGATTTTAGTTGGGATTTTAAGGAAGCCAGGGATGCCAGGAGGCAGAGATGAGGAGGGAGAACGTTCCAGAACTAAAAGATGGAGTATCTTGTCTTGTTTGAGGAAGAGCCAGGAGACCAGCGTCACTTGATTGATGAGTACGTGGCAGGCAGTGGGGTGTGATAAGACTGAAAAGTGGGGTGGGCTGAGGTGGGGGCTGGGTTATGAAGGACTTTGAACGTCAAACACAGCATTTTGTATTTGGTCCTAGAGGCAACAGGGAACCATTGGAGTCAGATCTTCAATTTAGGAAAATCACTTTTGGTGACTTGAATGGAGGATGAACTGGATTGGGAAGAAACATGAGGCAGGCAGACCCACCAGCAGCCACTGAAATAGTTTAGGTGTGAGATGATAAAGGCCTGCACCAGGGTGATGCCAGTGTTGGAGGAGGGACATTACAAAGGTGAGAGCAGCAGGCCTTGGCAACATCTTAGGTACTGGGGGTGAGAGATAGTGAGAAATCCAAGATGATACCTAAGTTTTCAGCCTGGGGGACTGAGAGGATGGCAATGATGTCTACAATAATAGAGAAGGTAGGAGAAGAAGAAAAATATCATCTAACAAATTGACCACTCTACTAGATTCTTCTTCCAATGTCATTCAGTACTGTGGAGATGACAACGAAATGCTAAGACAGAGAGAGCAAAAGGTCTGGCAAAACCTAGCCAACTAGTAAGGCTTTGGTTTGGGGTGATCAATGGAACATGAGCGTGTTGTCAGCTTAGCTAAATTTGGAGAGGCTCACCACAAAGGGTTAGCCACCAGTCACTGAATTCCTTCAGCCATTGGGAATCACAAAGACAATCTGACAAAGGGCAGGGGATGGGCTGTAATCTGCTTCGGCAGAGAGAGTACCCATATCAATGAAGTCTGGCTCTTTGAAGGATGTGTACAAGTAGGCACACAAACATTTGTTGAATTCAATTAACCTATGTCCAAGCAATCTGGAGTTGCACCGAACCGATAATGTCACATGCTGCCTCAGATGAGGGGACCCATCAGCGTCAAATGTCACCACAATTCCATTGCTGGCAATGGCTATAAGTAAATGTCACCCTTTGAAAAAGCAACCAACACCTAGCTAACCAGCTAATTACATATCCCAATTCGATCAGATTCTCTCAGTGTGTGAGCCTGTGAACCACACACAGATGCCCCTCCATATAATTCACTGTAACTAAAGCAAAAGAAAATTCCAGTAGTTTCCTTGGCAACCACTTTCTTTTCCTTGCTCTAATATTTAACAGAAATACTCCCTAGCTTCTGTGTTGTGTTTAAAGGTAGTTCCTAAACCCCATAAAATGACCAACAGGCAGATCACAACAACTAAGAAGTCATAAGTAATTCACCAAGAGAGACTTTACAAGTAATGTTGTCCAACTTCCTCATTTGGCAGAAGATACTGAGGCCAATTGTACAAGAACACATGGGTAGGTGGGGCTAGAGAAGCCTCAGGCTCCTAGACCAGAGGTCTTCCACCAGAACTCACTGCCTTCGATCTTCCCTCAACTGGGCTTTTCTCCATCCTAATTACTAATAAAAAATATTTGAGACATCTCTCAGTGTTCCCGATGTAGGCCTCTTTTTGCCCATTATAGCTGGGTCTGATGATGATGATGATATTAATAATATTTATATACTTTATAAATATACTTTATGTAAGTATACTTATATATTTAAATAAATCTGAATTATCATCGTGATTGGTTAATGGTTTGACAATTGCCTTATATATTCAGGGAAGTAAAACAGCAGGCTGGTGTCAGGGAAAAGAAAAATGACCCGGGACAAGAGTAGTTACTGTTAGGATCCAGGTCTACTGTCCAATTTAACCTTGAGTTTATGGCATAGGAGGATCAGTTGCAGAAATTGGGCATATTTAGCTCAGAGAAAAGAAGATTCAGGAAAGGATTTGACCACTGTTTTCAAGTATTTGTAGGGAGGTCATGTGAAGGAGGAAAATGTTTGTGGAATGACTGAATGACCCCAGAAGGCAGAATCCGGGAGTAATGGATAGAAGGTGTAAACAGGTAAATTTAGGCTTGAGCTAAGGAAAAGCTGTCCCAAAGTGGAATGGCTTGCCTTGAGACATGGTGGACTCCCCATCCTTGGTGGTCTTCAATCAGAAGCTGACAACCATTTGTCCAGTATGCTATAATGAGGAGTCCTTCATGTATGGGAGGGGCCAGATGAGTGTCGATGTCCCTTCCCATCCTCATACTCCTAGATTTGGTGACCTCAGGCAAATTACTTTGCTCCATTTGGTTAATATTTTTATGTAGGCATTTTTTTAGTACATAGTTTGCCCTCTACTTATCAGTCTACATGCTGGACTTTCCTTACTAGATTTTCAACTACTCAAGAGCAGGAATTCTCTTTCCTTTATATTTGTATCTCATCAAGCTCTGTGCAACTACTCATGTTTACATAGACTTTAAGAACCTTTTCAGGTATAGAGTATAAGTACCATCCCCATTTAACAGAAGAGAAAACTGAGGCTCCAAGTCCTATCTAAGATCATACAGCTCGTAAGTATCTGAAGAGGAAACTGAGCCCAAGTCAGCTCGAGTCTTCTTTCTATGACTCTGCCTCTAAGAGACAGATAGATAATAGGTACCTAATCATTATTGATTGAACTTAATTGAATACAAAAGTATTAGACAGTGTCTCTAAGAGCTATTAAGAGCTAATATTCTATGATTTATGATTCTATAATATTTTTAAGGTCCTTAACAATAACCTCTCAGGAGTCTAGGCGACTGTCTGAGACTACGGAAGTAGAAGAACAAGTGTCTACCTGCATTAGCAGACAGAATTTTCTTCCTAGGAATTCCTTTGCCAATGAAATAACATCTTTAAAAGGGTGACTAGATTATATCCACATTAAGCAGTCTAACAGTTCACCTCCCAATAGGCGGACCAGTATTAAATTGAATGAGAGAAGAAAACAGAGGCAATATTCTAAAAATGCTGAAAGGCTATCAGTCATTCACAGAGTAGTAAAGGGGACTATGGACCCAAGTTCCAATCCTTCCTCAGACTCTTATTGGCTGCATGACCTTGGGCAAATCTCTGAACCTCAGTTTCTTCATCTGTGAAATGGGGGTAATAATAATCCCTACCTCTTAGGTTTGTGATGATTAAATGAGAGAATGCATTGAATATGCTT